GCTAGAGCAGAAGGTGTCACTGCGCCGGGCTCACCTGGAACAAAAGGTAGCGGTGAAGGGAAACACTCTCTTTTTTTGTCTGGCTCTTATTTTAGTGGGTCATACACTAGATTTGTGTTACAGCTCTGTAGTACAGACTTGAGTTTTTCTGCAGTTGTTGATGAATACAGACTGAAAATACAATGAAGGAACTGTCTCTCACTGTTCACAAAAGACAGAATTAATTAAGGCACACTAAAAAATTATTATTATTACCATGGATACATACTTAAAAAGAAGCAAATCAGAGAGAATTTTATTGTATAAAAACAATTTACCTTCTGGCATAAACCTGTTGTTTTACTTAAAAAAAACTTAAGACAGATACAATTCTTCCACCCACCTAATTAACTTTTAACTTTAAAACAACACTGTTTATTCAAAGTGCTTCTTAACACAAAGGAAAAAATTAACAAAAGAGATGACAAACAAAAAACATAAAAATGAAGATTACAAATAAGAATTTACACGACAGGAAGGCTTCAAAAGAAAAGAAATAGACAAAGTTAGATTAGGTACAGGTAACAGTGTGTTTTAAGATGCATATTTAAATAGTTAGCTAACTTTTTTAACTTTTGGAAAAAAAAAAACTAAAACATAATTTAAAAAAAGTGTATGGTCACATACACAATCACACACAGAAATTCTTAGGTGCCTACTTCCAGAACAATATAACCAGTGCATAGTAATGTGCATCAGTATGACTGTAAAGAAACCTTTTAAAGATCCTAAATGTGCAAGTGTGCAGACAAACACAAACGGGTGGCAGTACGTTGAAATACTGACAGTCCAGCGCTGGTTTTTGAGCACACCTTGATGCTGAAGTGAAACAGGTCTGGATACACATTTGCATCCCCCTCAGCGGGCAGTGCGGGCATGAAAGGCGACCCAGACAGACACATTGACACATGAGTTCACATAGACACACACACACAGATTTCCCTCACCACAGGTGGTGATGACAGTGGCATGCCTTCCTGCAGGGAGCAGACAACTATTTCTCTCCCACACACTCATGATGGTGGTGAAATCTCTACACGACAGTATTGTTCTCTTACTACGACATTTTTTGTCTTATTTATAATAAGGCAACACAGTTTAGCTTATTATTATAGCTTGTTCTTATTAGGTTGCTGTATGTGTTCAGTGTTAACTGCTAATGCACGGGCCCCCTTAGATTTGCTAAAATCATACCCATGTAAGCATTACTTTTTATTTAACAATTATCAATTAGGAAGTAGTTGTAGGTGTGTTGCACGCTGTAACCAGGCTTTCATACTGCCATCATTTTTATAGTTTTATCAAACTGTGTCCCTGGTTGCATGACACTCGTGGTGGAAACACATATTTTATGTGACTATTCAGGCAATCTGCCATGTATACCAATGACATGTGATAAGATTAGAACGGCCGAGTACGCCTCCTTCCAAAGTGACCGACGTCATCGCTACAGTCTAGTAGACAGCACTCCGACAACAAAGGAAGAGACATTTGAAATGCTGCCCTGATCCAGTTCTGCTGGGTCCAGTGTTGTGTGAGTGCGCTGTGGTGGTCTGTCGCCATCTTCTGGCTGCATTCGAGTCTGCACTCTCAGACTGGAATGATGTCATGGTTTTGGAAGCACTATTGTCCTCCGGTTCGGTTCATGGTCAAAGTCTGGAGTTTTCTGTGCATGCTCAGTAGTTGGCCAGATTGCCGTATTGCGCCATGCAGTGCTTTGTCTGCACCTGTGGATGTGTGTGCCGAGTTAATGTGGGTGATCCAGCAGACAAAACTCCTGCCACGGCCGAACCTCATTAATACAACTTAACACACTTACCTTCGCAATATGAAACAATGCACGGTAAAGTCTGCATCGAATGATATACTTTAATAGTGTGCCACGTCTTTTAATCAGTAAGGATATAAGGTTATTTAGTAAGGTTCATTAAGTAAGGATCTAAAATAGCTACGGGGGGTGGACACAAAGATCATGAACAACTCTGCAGTGTAATGAAAACAAACACAATTGCCCTGCAACAAAAACAGGATTTGTAAAGGTAACCCTGTGACTGTGTCTGAAGTGTTGGTTCAACTCTTTTGTACATTTTGAAGCTGCAGTTTTCACTGTGGTGTATTGAAGGGCAATATACTGAAAGGATTCTTCTCTTATTTGTGTCTACCACACAACAGAAATGAAATATTGGACCTAAAAACTAGGTTCTATCCAAAAACTGCTCTCCAAAAAAGATTTTTCACAAGAATAACACACTTAAGCAGACCTGTGTAATTTATTATTCTACTATTTTTAAATGATTTTCACACATATTGTTTAATAACAGTTGATACTGCTAGGCATAACATACTGTAATTGAAATACCAATACTGATACAGTAAGTTGGGGACGTTTGTAATTGAACTAGTCAAACACAGGTGCAATTAATGCCATTGTTTTTGTGCATGCTGGCTCACTGACATGTCTTACTGGAACACTTAAATTACAGCATTAGTGCTGTTCGTTCCACCAGTGCTGTAACAAATCAAATTGTTACTTTGAGGAAGGTTACAATATGTAAGCAAGAATATAGCACAGCTACTGTCAGTTTTTGTTGAAACAAATATTGTAACCTTTAAAAAGCCATATACTGTAGTATTTATTACAAAAATGTCTACAGTTTATTAACCATGAATACCCCTCGTCCCTCTGTGTTCCCTGCAGATTGAAGAGGAGCTGGTTTCCCTTCAGAAGGAGCGAACCGACCGGATCAAACACCTGCTGGAGCGCCAAGAGCGGGAGATCGACAGCTTCGACATGGAGAGCATGCGACTGGGATTTGGCAACCTGGGCACCCTGGACCTCCCCAAGGACGACTACAGATGAGGGGCTGTCGTCGCCGCCGCCGTCTCTGGTAGTCCCCGGGCTCAGTACACCCCTCCTCTCCTTTTACCTGACCTGACCTGACAGTGCAGGTGTTCACTGCTGCTGACGCCCTCACTCAAACACACACACAGACACAAAAAAAATAAAAAACAAAACAGCTCCAGAATCAGCTGTTTCCTGGGCCGGTCAGACAGAGTCAATGGCAGGTTTTAGTGCCCCCAAAACCACCTTAACTTCCTCCCCCTCCTTGCCTCTCATGGTGTCACAAGATGACAAAAAAAAATGCTGGATAACGTCCTGTAGTTGTCATGTTTTTGTAACAATAATGATAACATAGTCACAGTGTTTATTGTTTTTTGTGCAATGATGACACTTTTGGTGTGACTAAAAGTGGGCGACGAGAGAAGGAGGGAGAGAAAAATGAGGCGGGGATCGATGAGCGAAAATCGCTCCACAACCATGCATTTTTTTTTAGAGGTGATTGATTTTTTTTGGGGTTAGTTTTTTCGGTTTCAAGCAAAAAAAAATGTGTTGAAGCGATAAATCAAACAGCTGATCCTTCCGCAGCCGTTGGTCTGCGCCGCTTCTTTAAACACTTTCTGGTATTTATTCATCAGGACAATTTATGACAAATTTGATACTTTGAGAGACAAATATCACGATGTACATACAGGTACACTTCTGATAAATGTGACTCCTTCAGGGGTGAATTTGATTACTGAGGGGAGGGTGAATGATGGTACTCAATATGTGTATCGTACTGATTTCTCTGCACTGGCAGCCAATGTGAATAATAATACATGTGACACGTGAACTCCAACTCCCAGCTAGCACAAAGGGCTTCATGTTGGGGGGGGGGGGGGGGGGAACCTTGTAATTTGTGTATAGAAGGATTTATGGAGAGCTTTTACTTATTTTCGTATTGTATTTTAACTGTCACTCAAATCAGAAAATAATTTTTAAAGGCGCTTTTTTTCTCCCCCCTCCTCAAATAGTATTTGAGTCATCTATCAATGGGATTTTCTCTTTTTTTTTTCTTTGCTTTACACAACTCCCGAGCTGTGTATTTTCTTATAAAACCAGACCAGTATGATGCTTTATTATTGCATGCACTTTAATTTTTTTTCCAGGTTAAAAGAAAGCATGAATCTGTCAGAGCTTTTAATTATATTTGTAAATAAAGTGCTCATCACACAAACTAAGGCTTTGCTGTTATATATGTCCAACATAAAATACTCATATCATTATATTCACCATGTACGACCTCAAAAAGCGGTACATTTGCAGCATTTTGACAGCACACACAGCTGCTGGAGGGTTCCACTCTCTGACCTTTGAGCTGAAAACATGTCTTCATCACTTTTATTGTGCAGATGTAGCCAACTGGCGTTAAATATTTCTACCTCAAATAGAATAGAAATTACTTTATCCCAGAAGGAGCATGAAATCCAGCTGGAACTACTGTATTGTAGGCTTGTTTTGTCAGTGAACTGTACAGTAATAGTAGTAATAGTAATAGTAGTACTCTACAGTAAAAATAAGTGAAAAGGAAAAGTCAGTTAAGTCTGATTATGAGGCGACAATTTCTCATCTCACATTGCAGTGCTGGAGAAAGTGAGCTGAGGTTACACTACACAAAGTAAAGACCCACTTGTTAACAAAAGCAAAGATTACTAAAGGCATGTTGGATCAAATGCAGTACTCATATTAACCCAAACTGTTCCTGGCACTATTTGGTGGAATTGTTTTAATAAAAAAACAACATATAGTAAAATGATTGCAGATAAAGCTAACTTTTGTGTCTCAGCAGAAGGCTTTTGTTGGTTTTCTGGCAATTTAAAGTCATGTATCCCTGGAATAGGGACATTATGGGGGCCAGGACCTCTCACACAGGAACACAATGTGGGTGTACTGTATCTGCTGACAATGTATTTTCTGACTCTGCAACTGAGGTTCCAAATGTGATTGCTTTTAATTATTTGCATCTCAATGGAAAAAACTTCTCTAGTTTTTCCTCACATTTATGATGAATTAGCATCAGAATACTTTATATGTTTAATTATACAATGTTATGGAGAATTTTCTACAAACAACACAACCATTTCAGTGTTTAACAGATTTATTGCAGAATAGAATAGTGCAGGTGACACTGCATGGTTAGGCAACAGTGAGGGAAAAAAAATTCTATTCAGTGGCACACTCGCAAAAGAAAAATGCTTTATTACTGTTGGGATTTTTTTGCTTCTTGCAAGAATGGGAATTTCCTACAGACCAGGCAGCCTCCGTGGGAATTCCTAGTGCTGAACACTCTGAGTCGAGTCTTTTTATTTATTTGCCGGCCAGCTGCTCGTACAGTTTTGGGACGTAGTCGTCCCACTCGGCCTGGTAGCAGGTCCCCGCCACCGGGGCTCCGAGGTTGTATTTCTGCCTCCAGCTCTGAATCTTAAACTTGCCACGGCCATCTCCACAGCAGTTAGTGAGGACCGGCTCGGAGCAAGACAGGCTGCCTGGCTGCTCGTACACCAGCCACACGTACCTGTGGAGACCTGAGGGGGACAAAGACAGAGGTTTTTAAATGTTGCATTACAGTGTTGCTAGGCTACAGATACTGCTTAAGAATAACAATGGCAAAGGCAGCAGACATACAAAACTCCAAACAGGTAGTTGCATATCTATCAATTAAACAGTCCTGTGAATAACTGAACTCTCTTACCTGTGCCCTTGGGAGGACCAGAGCCCACGTAGTCCGACATGACGCAGCCAGTGGACACATCATTCCCTTTCATGTTGACCACCAGAAAGTGGTGCCACTCTCTTTAGAAAAGGCAAAAACAATATTTTTATGACGAAAATAAGTACAAGAGAGATGCTTTCTCTGTTTTGATGCACAAACATTTTAAGCTTCCATTCACACTGTGTGCTTTCACTAACAATTACGCTCCTAAACCCCCTTTTCTGTACAAGAACTGTTGCAAAGTGCAATGAACTGATCATGAGCAGGAGAGAGACTGAATGTGGACGACTGCCAGGCCTTCAGGGGGCCTAAAAGCTGCAGACTCACAGTGGGTCAATGTTTGTAGATTCACTGCGACAACCCTTACAGTTATGAATATGTATATGCAGTGTTGGGTCAGATTACATTGAAATGCAGTCAGTTACTAAATATAAATTACATGTCAGGTATTCTAATTAGTAATGTGATTCATTAACCCTAACCCTCAAAATCAAATCAAACAATATACACAAATTCTCTTTAAAAACTCTCAAAACATTTCAGCATTTACAGTTGGTCAAACACATTATCAGTCTTCCATGTTGAAAACCATTGTTTCTTTGTGTCCACTGGCAATCCCATGATGCTTTCAGTTAAGTCTGTTGACCAGTCATGAGCTGTGTGGGCATGTGTGTGTGGCAGCTCTGAGCTGCAATGCACTGCTCAGAGGAATAACATGATGCACCCCATTCTCCTATTGAAGTCTACAGACCGCACAGGGTTAATAGAGTAGAGACTAAGTTTTGAAGACGTAATCAAAAACAATCCTATAATCTAATTACAATTTTTTTCAAATGTAATCTGGGCTGATTATAGTTACTTAGATCTTGTGATCTGATTATGTAATCCTGATTAAATGTAATCAGTTCCTACCCAAAACTTCTGTATATACATTAATACTTGCATTATCTTGAGGTCCAATGAATGGAATCAAAATAATGGTGACATAATTGTGCAGCCCTATCTTGAGGCTTTATTGTAAAAGGAGTCCTGAGTCAGAATCTAAGACTAGTGAATTCTGTGCTTACATTACGATTATTCATTAAAGAGAACATATTGACACAAAGCACACCAGACGCCAAGTTGTAGTTAAGCACTTTGATTTGGAGCTTCAAACAAAATATGACTAATCTGTTATGTATAGTCAATGTTGGGCTTGAGGTGTACTTGAAGGCACCAGTGTAATATATACACACAATGCACTGAAGGTGGGTGGGATGGGGGGTATAGAGGGGCACACATCTCATGTTTTTGCCCCAGGGCCAATTGACAATTGAATCATGGCTCCACCAGGGGCCACTATCCCCATTTGACCACAAGACTGGACCCACCCTCCGTTTCCCAACATGACATTTCTGTAGAAAAAGAAATGTGCAACTCCCCTTCAATGCCGCCTCCCACCTGAATTTGGGGTCTTTCCTGCTGGGAGCGTCTGGGTCGGTCAGGGCCAAAGTGTACATCTTACTGGAATCACATCCTTCCCACTCGATGCAGGTGGGTCGACTCTGCACCTGCGGGTAAACACGGTGGCAGCTGGTGAATGGCTGTATGCCCGACCCCTGCCGCCCAACCGGGGGCGCTGTTCACCATCTTTATTTACAACCGCAGACCACGTTGGAATCATTACGTAACATAATTTATTGCTGTCAAACATTTGCAAACAGGCTGAGACGAATTAATCACTCGCAAAGCTTGTTTGTTGAAAGAAATGCGCGTTAGCATGCTGCTCGCAATATAGCTTTTAAGCTATCGGGGCTAAGTTAGCTGAGTTGTTAGCTTGGCTAGCAAACATTAGTTAGCCGACTAACCTGTGTTGGGGTGAGCACTTTCCCGAGCTCGTCGATTTCCACAGAGCCGTATTTAATAGTCAGAGGCTGTGCAGGCTTTTCATCGACCTCCGGCAGGGCGAGAGAGCCGCTCCACTGGCTCAGATCTACGGGCATTTTGATTTATAGTCGGATTGCAGACGCTGCTGACTGAACCGCTGCTGGCACACAGAAACTGCCTAAAGTGCTGCGTTCACGTACCACCAGAAGATATAGAAACGGGTCAACACATGCGCGTTTGCCTAACAAGTTAAAATTTAACTTGTTAGGCAAACGCGCAGATTCAACAGTTAAATCATACGAATCAATATATGAATTCATATGTGTGAATTTAAAATCAGCCTTAAACGAGCTTTAGTATTTGTTACTCGTGTTGTGTAAGTTATTCTCTGCTGTAGCGTAGTGATAGTCTTGATGTAAATTCCCATCGGTAGATTATTGCTAAATGAATTGCCCGTTGTGGCCATAGTGCTAGTGTCTACATTTTAGTAGTAATGTCTGTTTATGCCTTCTTCATTGTAACGCAACGTCAAATGGAAAGCACATTAACTTATTAATGCTTCTTGTGTTTGGTACTTTGTGGTGAAAATTATTTTTCCCAGTATTTTGACTACACGTGAACGGCACAAACAGCACCAGCTGCGGGTGTCCGCCAGGGGGCGCTGTTGCACCACTGCCTTGTGGATTGAATTGTGGTTTGCTGAAATTTCTAATCAATCACATCATACGTCCTGAGCTCGTCCCTCCTCCAGCTCACATGCTCCATTAACACACTTTCTGTTTCCAGCATCCCTTTTTTTAGAAACCGGGGTCTGACTATAACAGAATGGTTTAATTGATTTAGTAAATTGGGGCATATTTTACACATCAAAACAGAGGAACATTTTTAATGTTCTTATTATGAACATTATTCCTCTATGGGGTAGGACTATGGTAATCAGTAGTTTACAACAGCTAGTTGCAGTAGATGAATGATGGTTGTTAACTCCTGTATCGCAGTCAGTTCAAATTTGCATGTCAGACCTCAAAACACACACAGGAAACACAGATTTGAGAAGTTTGTTGCATCACTTGCCTACATATGAATACCAATGTGACAAATACATGTAAGCAGTGCACTTAAGTACAAATTTAAAGTACCTGTAGTTTGCTTGAGTTTTTCCATTTCATGCAACTTTATGCCTCCATTCCATTATATCTCTGGTTTATGATAAAGTGGAGGCTTAAATATTCCTTTAGCTCTTTATGGAAATCCTCCTCCTCCATCAGCTAAATAAAGATTCAAAAACAGGGCTGTTTCTCTGAGTTCATGAAAAGTTGACTTTTTAAAGACACATAGTTCTCACATGAAAGCGACACAACAAACATATGATGATCTTATAGAATATGGTGCATTGCTGTAGATTAAACTACCAATACAGTATATGAAGTATAATGAGCTCAACCTTAAACATCAGCAGTAAAATACAACATACCGCAGTAGTAATATTAATCCAAAAAACACCATAATAAAAACTCTGCAGAATGAGTACTTTTACTTTTGAAATGAGTAAATTTAGCTGATAATACTTCCACACTTGAATGCAGAACTTTTACTCAGTTAGTTATTTTAATTAGGGAAAGGATCTTAATATTTCTTCTACCACCAATAACAACAATAATAACATTACTTTATAATAATAACAATAATAATAATATCAATATTAATAATAATAATAATAATAATGTACCACCTTATGTTAAAAGGTGTGTTACTGTGCCTTTAACAAGGTGAGGTCAGGGTGTGGTTTATGCGTGCCAAGGTTTCCGGATCAGCATGCGCAAGTAAACAAAGCACGAGAGAGACAGAAGTCATGTCAGACTGGTGACCTACACGGTAGTCAGTCTGGTTTGTAATGGGCGGACTGGTGTCCACTGTGTCGCTGTGTGTTACAGGCAGGCTCACACAGGTGGACTAGTCAGACAGGTCTGGGTCTGGAAAGCTTTTGTTCACTTTTTTCGGAGGGCGATGAGATTGTAAAGTTATAATGAAGATAGTCGCAGCCGCAGCGCTTCTACAACTGTGTTTCTGTGCGACAGGTGAGTTTTTATCCACATTACACAGCCAGGTAACACAGGTGAGTCTGAAAAACCCTCCTTACGTTGTTTTCTTGTTCCCTCCTCCTCCTCCTCCTCCTCCTCCTCCTGCCACAGCGGCAGTTTCGGGGAATGGCTCTACCGAAACGGCGCTGACAGCCGCACCGGGAGACGTGGCTCTACTGCCGTGTTATACCGACGGTAACGCAACACCGACTTTAACGGCGTGGATGAAAAATGGACGAGAAGTCATTCGAGGTGGCGGTTCTTCACCTAGCCCTTCTCCCGACGGGCAGCGCCTTGCAGTGCTGCATGATGGGAGTCTGGAGATCACGGGGGTGATACCTGGAGATGAGGGCAGCTACCTGTGCAACACCTCGCTGCCAGGCAACAACACCTTTCGGGCACGTGTCCTGCTGCGAGTAACTAGTACGTGAACGTGAACGTGTCCGGTTGTGAGTCCAGTGTCTGGAACACAAACTGGTTCTTCAGCATAAAAGACATTCCTTACAGGCGGAGGGATATTCACATCGTTTACTTCAGTAAAAGTGCTACTACCACACCGCACTGCCACAAGTGAAAGTCCTATTGCATTGTCCAGGTTACTGAAGTAAAAGTATGTTAGTAGGCTGTAAAAGTTATATTTTCTCCACTAATTGATGGACTGTCTAACCAATAGTACAAACCACAAACTTATTTTTATTATTATTACTATTAAAAAATAAGTTATAGTATTTAAAAAAGCATCAAATCTTCATATTTGTGAAGCTGGAACCATTCATTGTTTTTACTTCACTGCATTAATCCAACAACATACTTACTTTACTAAGTAAGATGTTTGCATGAATGACTACTTGATGACTACTAATTGTTTTAGCTCTACCCTTAATGATTATTAAAAAATGAAAAAAAAAGAAAAGAATTTAAAATAATTGCCATCCCACTCCAGGGCAGCATTATGTTTTAAGCAAAACTGTCATTAATTCATGTCAACATTACATCAAGACAAGGAAAATAAACAGATATATTTGCTTGAAAAGTTTATAAAATCATTGTGATGATTAACTAAGCAATTAGTTAGCTAATCATTTCAGCTATAAAGCAGATTTTTGTGCCAGTGGTGTTACAAATTATGTTAAGCTCCTGCAGTGAAAATGGTCCATTAATTGTAGTTAAAAAATATTGTTTAATAATAAAAATTAATTACAGATACACTGTGGAGTTCTCATCACTGTACGTCCTATTAAATGTCTATTAATGTGACTCCTTCCTAAATATCGCTCATCAGTATCAATTTACATTTTCTCTTGCAAACATAATAAGTTGCTTGCATGATTTACTTGTAATGCAATAATATGTTTTTTTAAGTAATAAGAAAGTTGATTAAATCATATTAAGTAATGTTTACAATGTTCTTTATTGTAAGGCACAGCTTGTATTGCTTTCAGGTGGTCCAGAAAATGTATCTACATCAATCGGTCCAGCCACTGCCCTGTCCAACGGGACGCTCATCGCCTATCGGGGTTCGACTGTCTCCTTCAACTGCTCCGGTGTCTCTTACCCGTCACAGCAGCTCACCTGGGCCTTCAGAGGAGCCTCGTCCAGCAACGAGTCTCTGGTTTCAACCTCTGGATCCTGGCTGGACTTCAGGATAGAGGACATTCAGCCCAGTGCTCAGGGAGTTTACAGCTGCAGGGCCCACAACACCTTCTCTCACCAGGCAGTCAATAAGAGCACACAGCTGCTAGTATACTGTAAGTACCACAAGCAGAATACCCAGAATACCCTGCTACAACTGATGCGGAAAAGTATTATTTTTATGGTTATTTAAATTTGTTTGTCTGCACTTCAGAGGGGGAGCTGGAAAGAGATGGAAGTGATTTTATTATGCCATGAAGAAATAATATACAGCAGTATAATAAATAATTAACTATAAAGCAAACAAAGCAACATTTTGCAGTATGCATATAGTCAAACATAACCATAACCCTAAATAAATATGAACATTTTAAACCTTATCGACCTGATTCTAAAAAGGGGGAAGTAGAATAAATGTTAGGATGTTATAAGTATGTATCTTTTATTAAACACTGTTAACTACTGCACCCATGCTCCATGGGATAGATAATACCTTTAGATACTATTAGGCAATTATTATATATGTGTATATAATTATTATATTAAACAGAAATACTGCATGAAATGGGATTTAACTTTCAGAAATATCCTTTCTATATCAGTACTAAAGGGTGATTGGCTGCATCTAATTTCCAGTGAAATTAATTATCAAACCAAATCAATTTTTTTTTTAAAGCCCTTAAAAACAACCAAAGTTGACCAAAGTGCTTTAAAGGAGAATAAATAAGACATCATAAAAAAACAAAACCAAAAACATAAAACAACAAAAAAAAACAAAATAAAAAAAAACCACAAAACAACAATCAAAAAAAAAACAAATACAAAAAAAACAATAAAAGCACACAGGAAGGCCGAGGATGGGTAAGACCGGTTTAAAAACAGACAGAAGAGGCCTAAGCGACAAATATTAAATAATTGTTTGTATAATATATTATTTAAAATAAATAAATAAAAAAAATTGCTGATCTGAGATACAGAGGTCCTAAATCCACTGCATGTTTAAATGATGGCGGTTGTAGTCCTCTGTTGCTTGCTGTAGTTTTGCTTCTTTACTGATGTCTTTGTCCTGAATAGATGTCCCAGACAGACACCCTGAATGTTCGTGGGTACCAGCACAGGACCCCTCCCACTTCCAGTTCATCTGCACCTGGCTTGGAGCGTATCCCACCCCGACGCTGCACTGGGGGGAAGACCAGGGCGAACAAGGAGCTCACTGGAAAGGACGCGTCAATGTGTCTGAGGTGACGGACAGCCTGTCATTGAGGCTGAACCGCTCCATGCTGTTCGACGGGCAGACACTGAGGTGCATGGCGGGGCACCTGGCGCTCGCTCCAGAAAGGGAGAAGTCATGTTCGTTTACCCTCAGTAAGCATGTTGTGGTGAAATGAGCCTCTTAACAATCCTGAGATGTGCAACTGCTGAATCTTTTATGGGCTTTCCACTTTAGAGGCCACTGAGACTCTTCAGTGAGCAGCCATTGGG